CACTATGTGTGAAATAATAACAACTGAAAGGATAAAATAAACAACTTATATATATATATATATATATATATATATATAGCATAAGTATATTGGGCACAAACCAATAAATTTTAAAAAAAAATCAAACTTTCAATATAAAATTTGAGAAAAATATTATGAGTAATCATACACATTTTATTTACAACTCATTTTATCTTTATTTATAACGTGTTTTTAATAAATATATTTTTTTATATACGATATATATATATATATATATATATATATCCATTTACAGAAAAAAAAATATATGGATTGGACTACGTATATACCAGGAGCAAAAATTTTGAATTCCGGTCAGATTTCAATTCGGCAGTATTTATGTTTGGGTTTTTAAATTTTGACAAGCTATATTAGTCTTTTTTATATCATATTTAGGTATATTTTGTGTTCCACTTTGTTTAGTTATTATGAAACAAAATACTTTTTTACAAAAATTTTCTTTTTATTTATTTCTCAAAATATTTAACTTGAATTTGATTTTTTTTAATCGATTTAATTTACTCAAATCAATCTAATCAATTTTTATATCGAATAATTTTACAAAATATAACTATATATTATTTACCTTATAAATATTTTGTGTGTATATATATATTATTTTACGAACTCTTTATTGGGTGGAAAGAAAAAGTAAAGACAAATAAAATCAAGCATATGAAACGACCTAACTACATTGAAATGTTTTCTATATATAGATTTTGTCTTCCCTTTTAAACCCACACGCTACAACACCTCTTCTCTCTCTAACTTTCGTCCTCCTCTCTCCTAACAGTGTTTCTGACGGCGTCAGTTGTCTCCGTCGCTTAAGCCGCCGCCGCCGCCTCTAACGGCGTTTACTTCTCCGTTTCCTCATTTTCCCGCTTCAAAATTTCACACTATAAATTCGAAGAAGCTGCATTAGCACCGTCACTCAATGTCCCGTGTTGTAGCAGCTGACGACAGCATGACGTCACCATTCTTCTCGCCGCTAACCGTCGATTTATCCAGCAACTTCTCCGCCCCCGGCGGCGGATCCGGCGCTTCATCTCCGACGCTCGCTCATCTCCTGAAGAGAGTTGGAGACAGGACGAGACACCTTGCCGGAGAAGAATCGCCGCCCAGCAATCTCCGGCAACACATCCTCGATCTCGGATCGCCGGAGAGATCTGTGCCGTTCGTCCTCTCCTTCAACAACCTCACCTACAGCGTCAAGGTCCGCCGGAGAATCGACATTCCAGGGATCTTCTCGCGGCGGCGACCA